TTGAATTAAAGCTATTGAAAAATTCTGAAAGCTGTCACTTTCTGTAGTAAATTGTGAAGAACTGTATTTTCATCGTGGGTGGTTCTTCGTGGTCTATAGATACATCCCAATAGAAAGTTTTTATCTGATATTTTTACATCCAAAAACAAAGTGTCCACAGTTCCATTTATTATGTATTTGGTGTTGAGAGTGGTCTTGATTTTGAAACCTTTTTTGTTTCGGATGCTGCATATACGCATACGCATTCCCAGTGAAAATTTCGATTTTACTGTTTATATTCTAGAGAGATGTATTTTTTATACTAGAGAAGTATTCGTATAAGTCTTGCAAGAAATTATTGTTGTTTATAGTTAGGCTACTGAGAGAAAAACGACATGGAAATACACTTGGCCAAACATAAAACTGGTATAGGCAATATATATTTTTTAAATTTGCCTAGTGTGAGTCAGGCTTAACAACAAAAAGAATGTTCTGAAAAACTAAGGTCAGACAGTTTTTGTCAAACCTGAACAAAAGTAAATGCAACGTTTTTATGTTATGATTGGTTTAAATAAAGGATTGCAAAAATATGAATTACAACTAATGACATTTATTATTATCAGGTTGTCATAATATGAGTCAATAAGTTCAACAAATTCCGCTAAAGAATTTGTTCGGAAATATATTCAGAGAAAAGAAATACAAAACAAGCTAGGACGGTCCTGTCTAGGGCGGAGTATAATCCTTTTCTAGCTAATAAAATTTGGCATATCTGTCAAAATTTGTTTATTTTCACTATCTCGTTTCGTGAAATGAATTTTAGTTTGAGGTGACAGACGCCATAATTATAGTTAGTTAATGCCCGTTTCCACCAACCATTCTTCTTAACGGTAAGTTTTCCTCAAACTGACATTTTCTCGTGTAAAAATGTCATTTTAAGGAATACTTATTGTTAGGAGTTCCCTAAAATGGTTGGTGGAAGCCTCGGTGGAAGCGGACCTAAACATTTCAGAATTTGACATTTGGAAGCATTCAGTTAATACATATCTCAGGATATTAGATTACCTTGATCAATCATTACTAAGAATTTATCAAAATTTTCCTTGAAACTTCTGATCTGATCAGGCCTAGCAAGTCAACATCTTACATGCCTATTTTAATGCAATAGAATCAAAGGACTAGAAAAAGTCTAGAGAACGAAAACGATTTCCCCTGTTCCACCTCCTGCATGGAATGGAGACCGGGAATGCTGGAAGCTGAAGGTGGAACAGGGAAAATCGTTTTCGTTCTCTATATGATATTGATATTTTGGGGTTATTATCATTTGCCGCCTGATTGGAATAATAGTTGATAGAGTATTTTCTATTTGAAAACAAACAGTTTTTGCACTTTTTTTAATTTGTTTCTCATACGGTTACATTATGGTCCCCACTGCAATGAACATAAACTGTTGAACTATCACAAATGGTATTCTTATGGAAAAATCCTTGACAGGTGAAGCATCCTCTGTATACTAAGGCCTTCGTATAATGGATACCTCTCCCATTAATTTTCTAGATTTAACCATAACTTATAAAAACGATATTCACAAATTTTCTATTTCTCATAAGACATCACACATTGATACGGTTATACAGAATGAATCTAATCATCCACACTCTCAAGGTAAGGGCAAGTCCAGCAAGATGGAGGGAAGTGTAGGTCGTCTTTATATCCAAAACGGGTAAATCAGGCATGTCAACTCCAAAAGACTATAGACCAAAAGATTATCATCATTTTTGTTGAAGACTCTAGAGAAGCTGATTGATCTACAATCTACACATTAGAGAATTAATGAGAATAAACACGCAATGCCCAGACCGACATGCATACATAAATGAAAGGTCAATTGAAAGCGCACAGCATGAAGTAGGTAGTTGGAAAAATTGGAAGACCTCCTAAAAATAAAGGTGCATTTCTGGATATAGAGGGTACATTCAATAGTGTAATGATTGAATCCATTGGAAAAATCATGGAAAACCTGAAGGTAGAAACGCTCTTAGGTAGAACCAGTCATCATATAATTTATTTATTTATAGACTAAATCTAACATAAGCCAAAAAAGCATACATTCATAAACACAAACAGTAAGATTGACTTATATCTCCTGTAACTCTTTAATATTTGTATTAAATATATCTATGTTGACTATCATGAGTATTCTGTTGCATAATGATAACATTGTATTTATGGGTGATGTACTGACTAGATCTATATTAAATAACTCATAGTTTAGATTTCTCGAGTTAATTTTAGGTACGTTTAGGTGTACATATTTAATTAAATTACAGTCTTTATATTTCACATAATTAATAAGGTTGAATACAAATATCACAGCCTGTTTATCTGTTCTACTCTGCGAACTTTCAAATACAAAGCCCTCAAGCGTGCTTCTATACGAGACCATATAAGGATACATGTTATTTTTCCTGACATAAAGGTATCTTAATGTAACCATAATGTAACTATCTGTGATGTAACTATAGGCGATTTCGCCCCAGATTTTCATCTGCTGTTTGGTAGGCGAATGGTTAACCAATTGGTACGTAAGTGACATAGCTCAACAATCCGAATCATCCGAATTCAGTGGATAGGGCATTTGGTACATTTTGACTTTGACATATTTATTTGGACATGAGAGAAAAAGAAACAGAAAGCTACCAAACCTCCACTATCCAGTCAAACCGCGGTATAGCATCTGACAGACCAAAGGGCCTACCAAAGTTGTTGTGACAGCATCATTCACCCATCCGAAATTGAATGGTACCTGTTTGACAGACCAAACTGGGGTACCAAACTGAGGCGAAATCGTCTTATATGACATATTGACAAAGAATTCAAAACTGACAATCCAATAAAGTAAACACCAACTTGTTTATTGGTCCATACACAACAATCCTCTTGACTAAAGCTTTGTTTTGGTTCGAAAAAAGGACGGTTCTAGAACGGTTCAAAACAATCGCACAGTTAATTATTGAAATTTGTGATAGCCCAGCCGTTGTCATTTTATTAATTGATGAACTGTGCGATTATTTTGAACCGTTTTAGAACCGTTTTTTTTTTCGAACCAAAACAAAGCTTATATTTACTTTCAACCGTATATGTAATATTGACATTATAGACTTTTTTGAAATCTTGAGTGTCACATTTCTGTACCTTTAAGCTCGGTCCAAGCAGAAAGATATGTCCAGACAGTTAAAAATGCATTGAAAAAAATGTCACAAGATTCTGGAGATATAAATTGCAAGCTAGCAAATTTTTTACTTCACATCAATTAATAGTACTGGTGCTTAACCTTACATGATGTTAATGAATTTGGACATTCATACTAAAAGTGATTTGATTCGACCCTCTGAGATAATCAATATTCAAGGAAGGTAATAGAGTAGTTTTATTTCATCCTTCACGACAATTTCAGGTCGGCGATAAAGTGCGGGTTCGTAACTATACAGTGTGGAATTTTTAAATGGAATAAATTCAGTATCAGAAAGCCTGTTTATTTTCTGAAAAAATTAAAAAAAAACGGGTCCCCTTATTTTTAGTTTGGCACATTTTTTTGGCCTTTTCATGGAATTTCCCCTCTCTTAAGGGTAGAAACCACCCCCAACTTTTTTTTCTCAAATGTAAAGATATGTATTGTGATAGCTCGTTGGAATGGGCGTAAAAAAAGGAATATAACCCATTATTACTTTTGCATTTCTGGTGATTTAGAAAGCGAGAAAAAAATAAAAAAATATTATCCCATAAAAAATTTTTACAGTTAAAATGGTTGAATATCTTCAGCATTTCTTCTTGGTAGAACCCTAATGCCCTATTTGTAACGTTAATCAATTATTTCTGACGTTAACACACTATTTTATCCATGAAAGGGACCTGCAAAATCTATAAGTAATCTTTGCCAAGGACTTTTGCTGTTCTCCCAACAATGTATTGTCTTTTTGGGTTGATTTTTGGATAACTAACAGGTGAAGCAAGATTTAGCAATATTTTCTATATTTTTATCAATAGTAACCCACCAAACGTATGATTTTGCCAGATTCTTCATTCGGACTATTCTTAAATAGCCTTTGTGTACTTCTTCAAAAATTCTGTTTTGTAAACTTTTTGGTATCAATTTTCTATTATTTTTCATAATAACTCCATCAACTAAAGAAAATTCAACATCTTTTCCTATAAAACCCTCTTTCTCGATGATTTTCCCCTGTAATGAAGTAATAAAGGTCTTGTAGATTTCCTTCTTTTTGCGCTTCTTTGGTAATTTCTGTGTGTGTGACAGGTAATTTTAAAATTTGTATTAACTGCCTGTATGAGTTTTTCAATATAGTTTGGATTTTTGAGTCCATTAATGAATTGATGTCTCAAGTCAAGATCCATAGTTGAAGTGTTACAACTATGACATTTGAAATCGCAATTTTTGCTTAGTTTTTTGAGATAATACTTTCATCATCTCCGATTTTGCTCAGCAATGACGTTGGACATTGGTTATAATAATGATCAGATAATAATTTAACCAGATCAGTATAAGGCTTTATTTTCGGATCATCTGGGCTACAAAGATCGTACAGTAATTGAAGAGTTTTTGTGCTCATTGTGCCCATTGGCACACATTGCAGAACTCTACTTATTTATTAGAATGTGGTACTTGTCCGAGAGTATTTATTGGACTAACAGAAAAATCTTTCAAAAGAAGAATTAAAGAACATCAATCATAAAAAATAACACTCTTCCACATTACTACATTACATCTAAATTCAGAAAATCATAACATTGATTTTAAAATTTTGCACAAAGAGAATAAATCCAAGAAATTGAACAAATCATGAAAATAAATAGTCCGTCTGAAGAAGGCACCGTGTGCTAGAACATATTACCGTTTCATTTGCATGTAAAATTGTGGAAATCTAAATTTGTAATCTAGTATCAACTAAATTAATCTCTCTTACTAATAAATAATTTTTTTTAGTAAAAAATAATCAACTTACATCGTGCAATGAAGCCATATCCGAATAACTGCTATCACTTTCATATCCAGACAATTTTGAAGCTGTTTCACTTCCACTTAAATCCGAGTGTACTCTTTTTCTTCTTTTAGGTCCCTCTAGTCCTTCTAACAAAACAAAATCTTTCAATCTCCTATGTTTACCATTTCGTAACATCCTTGCAGGTGAATCTGATCGAGTAGTATAAGGTTTGTTCAACAATCTTGCGGTTCTTTTGGATGTTTTCGGGCTCAGGCTTCTTGGAAGCTGATTGAAAACCGTGTCTCCGGTTATAGGGATTTTCTCAATGCTGTGTCGTCTTTTGACTTTTGGTAATATTGTTTTGAATTTTCTTACGTTTAAATCTAGTCTGTCGATTAGTTTTGCATCAGCTGCGTCTAATTTGTTGAGGGTGTTTTCTAGATTCTCTTTTTTCGTCAAGTCTTTTTTGATTAATTCCAACCTTTGTCTTTTGGTTAGTTTTTTTGGTTTGGGTGCTTCTACGACTTCTTTTTTTATTCGGCTAGGGTCGATTAGGAACGAAAGGTCGGTCATTACTTCTTCCATTGACTGTTCAGGTTTGGGTTTTCTGAAACAAAAATATTTAATTATTTATGTTGGTTTGTATGAGGAAATTTTTGTTACCTTGGTCTGCCAGCTTTCCTTTTGACCACCGTAGGTTCGCTGGTGCTACCCACCGAATCATCTTCGGGTTCTTTTTTGATGGCAATCAGAGCGGGTATTTTCTGAGATTTCCTGCCACGTTTTCTTATTGCTTTTTTAACCTCCAGGTTCTCTTCTTGTGGGAAAATTGGTTCTAGCACCGGTGTACTTTGTTCTGCTCCTTCTGGTGAGGGATTCTGTTTGATTTTTGGCTTGCGGATTCGTTTGACCACATCTTTTGTGCCATTTTTCAAAAGGATTTGCTTATCGGTTAGACCTAGAAGAAAATTTCGTTTTGAGTTTTGAGTTACCAAAATATTCTTGTTGCACTTCAAAAGTTCAAAAAAGAAAAAATGTAAGTAGTTATCAACTGAGAGAGTTTTCCCTTAGTTCTCCTATAGTCTATTTATTAATGGAAAAGAATACTTAATAAATCAAGGCGCTCTTTTTTTACTTGAGATAATTATAAAAACTTATTGCTACTTTTGATATTAAAAATCTATTATTCAAAGATCTAAAAACATTAAAAGGCTCGTGATTTATTTATAAAATAAGGATATTTTTGTCAAGACCACCCAATGAGAGTTTTGCACAGTAAATTAAAGGTTTTGACTGTAAAATTTACTACGCTCTAGCATTCTGGGATAGTCTAAATATAGCGATTTTTATGACCAGAGACATTTTTCCTGATCTCAGGATTTTCAGCAAATTTTAATTTTAAATAAACAAAATTCTTCCGCAAATATTTTCTTTAGATCTCCAATTTTTTTTCTTTTCTACTTTTCTCTTGAATTTTTGTTTTCTCCTAAGAATCTTTTAGCAAAATCTCAAATTAATTTTTCTAAAATTGGACATATCAGGTTGAATACCACTGTCCAGTATATTGGACAAAAGGGTTTCTTGTCAGGGCCCGCGTCCAGTAAACTTGACGCTACTATTATACTATAAATCTAAATTGGCTCTGAAAAATGCGGGATATGGCAATAACTTGTTTTCCATGAAGCGGGTCACAACAAAAGTTTAAAATTTCAGTTTTTGCTTGATTTTGTCATTTCATTTAAAGGTGTTATTGGGAAAGTTGCAAGCTTTGGGATTTTTTGGAAATATGCTTGCTTGGTTTCGCAGCTATCTCAGTTTGTTAAAATCTCAGGGAGCTCATCTATCTCCGTTGCTGTTCAATGTCTTCATCAATGATATCTCTACTGTTGTACAGCACTCTAATATAATTTTGTATGCAGATGATCTAAAGGTATATAAATGCATTGGAAGACTGTGAAAAACTTCAGGAAGACATTGACATCTGATTTCTTCGTGTAACCTAAATGGAATGGAATTTAATACAAAAAAAAATGTAGGGTTATGCGAAACGAACATCACTCAGTTTGAGTACAGCATAAATGATGAGATCTTAGAGACAGTGGACTGTATAACAAAATTTTGGATTTTCCTTCGACAGAGAATTTTCATTCAATAACCATATTAATTGCATAACTAGCAAGGCATTAAAAGTTTTAGAATTTGTTAAGCGTACTCTGCAGGATTTCACCGATCTGAAATGTTTTAGGGCTTTATACTGTCCCTATGTTAGGTCTCCTGTCTGGAATATGCTTGTCAGGTTTGGTTAGCTCATTATAAAATATATATACAGCAACTCGAAAGAGTCCAACAAAAATTTATTAGGTTTGTAGCTCATCACTCAAACAACAAAGAATGTTTCTAACCTCTGGAATAGAGTATGCAGGAATATTGATGTTTTTCCTACTGGCATATAGTTTTTCTTTGTTGTTTTATTTCATTCTACGTTCAAGACTGAACCTTTTATGTATTTATTGTCACTTTTGTCACTCCTACTGAATGTACTACATGTTAAATGGCTGGTCTGTTGATAAAACATTTATTTACTTATTTATTTCTAAATTATGTTCAGTATTTATTGGAACATCCTTTCATTTTTATTATTTTAAGAAACTTTTTTCTGTTATATTTTTTCTTTTTAAAAATTGTATTCAGTGTTTATTGGAATGTCGTCCAGGTAACTGGAAAATATTATATTTACGATCATTCAAATATCCCAAAGTCCAGTAAAATCAGTAAAATGGTCATTCGCTTAGGGCTGTCAAATTGACAGATATCTCACATTGGATGTCTAAAAAATCTATTTGTATAATAATAGTTATTTACATTACAAGTGCGTTTATGAACATGATTAGAATAACGAGTTTTGTAGTCATGTTTTAACGCACGTGTGATGTACAACTTTTTATCTACAAAGCAAAAAATAAGATTTTTTTTTTCAATCATTTTCGTTTATTAGTCGTTGTATACCTTCATTTTACCTTTACAGGTTTACCTTTGACATTTGTCAAATCACCAAAAATAGTTATGTTATGAATTCATAACCTTGTCCATAACAGCACTAGTTGTGTTATGAATTCATAACCTAGTCCATAACACAACTGGTTGTGTTATGAGCCTCATGACATAACTCAAATACTGGAAAAATAGTTATGTAATAACGTCATCAAAATCAATCAAAATCAAATTTTTATTCACGCATATAGCATTTACAATAGTTAATTAATTATTTCTACAAAAAGTCAAAAAGGACAAAATATAATGTATCAAGGAATCAGTGTCTGAAACAATCCAAAAAACAAGACACAAGACACAAGATGGCGGGATAAAAACAAGACTAATTATCAATTATATAAGACATTCTTAAGTTTAGTCGAAAATCTTCCATAAGATCGGTCAAACATATCTATGTCACATTTAGTTAAAATATCATTTGACAGCTTTGACATTCTACACAATGGAGAAATAATACTATAATTAGTTCTATGAAAATCAACATTAAACAGAATCCTATTTCTAACATTTATTGGGGAAACATGAATGCCAATAGCCGCTAGGAGGTCAGGTGCATCTATCATACTATTTATGATTTTATAAAAGGTGGAGATGTCAAAAAAAATTCTTCTATTTTCCAGTGATGTCAAATTCAAAAGTTTCATAATGTCAGCATAGTTAATTTCCTCAGATGGAATATGAAGTTTGTAAGCTATTCTACTCAAAAATTTATGCTGAATTCTTTCCAACCTTTTTCTATGTACACCATAGAATGGTTGCCACACACAACTGGCATATTCCAGGATTGAGCGGACAAGGGCACAGTAGAGTAACTTGAATGTGAAAATATTCTCAAATCCTCGCAGTGTTCGAAAGATAAACCCCAGCAAACGCATTGAATTTTATTAAAAACGTCAATAACAGATAGTTGTAAAAAACTAAGACTAACAGATTTATCATAGACAAACGACACATTTGTATCCCTGTATTCCGAGTATACTGAAGAGAAATGCCTGTTAAACATGTTAGAGATCATCTCTGGATTATTACTGGATTCATCATCAAGGTTCATAGACTGAGGGTATTCGGAATTACCCTTTTTAGAGTTCACATATTTCCAAAAAGACTTTTTGTCTGTTAACTGAGCTTCCATAGATTTTATATAACTTTGATGACTAGAGGACGACATATCTCTACACTGTTGCCTTAAATATGAAAAAACAGCATAATCTTTAAGAGATTGTGAAGCTTTGAATATCTTGTGCGCTTTCTTTTTCTGCAAGATTAGATTCTTCAACTCATCATTCATCCATTTAGGAAATTTGGGTGTCAAAAATCTACACATGGGAACAAATGAGTTAACCGCATAATATAGTATGTCATAAAATTCCGTTGAAAAGACAAGAGTCTGTTCTTTAATTTTATTGTAAAAAATTCCAACTTCAGTTAGTTGGACTGACTCTGTGGGTGGATATTTGAAAACAATTGAATTTTTCTAATTTTCCTTGAAATTTTCAAATGGAACGGTATATTTAAGATATGTTCAATCGATTTTTGAGGATATTTTACACAGTTTTTCTTTATTATACCTTCCTACAAACGAATTCCAGAGAGTGTTAAATTTAATTTTATCAAAAATAATCAATATTTATGAAAAAGCCCTCGTAAATAATAACTTTGCTTTTCTGACAGCTGATTGTCATCATTGATGAATGTCAAATAATGGATAAAGTGCGTTAGGAAATTATAATAGTAATTATATTATGCAATGATCAATGATCATGTAATGATAGCCATTAATACACAAGCATGTTGTAGGATACGAAACTTGAAGAAGATATACATATTTATTTTGAGAATAGTAAACTACTCAAGTGGTGGTGCCATCTATTAATAATTTTGGAAATTAAAATCTAGACGTCATTTCCGCATAAATTTAGCACCCGCGTACTGTGGATTTATTCATTTTCCATTCTGCTCTTTCTGTAAATACTAACAGAGATAATCCAAAACCAGTCTATTATTTTTTTTATAAGCATTATCCATTTTCAAAATAATTAGATTTTAGTGGCTGCGATTGCTGCATTTTCATCACATTCATGCAGAACCTCAAGGATGTCCTGTGCTTCTCCATTTGGGAAATGCATTTTTAGAAAATAGCGTTTGAAATTTCAAAAATGTGTCAGCCTGACATACTTAACTGGTATTTGCTCAATTTACGAGGGCTTTTTCATAAATACTGATTATTTTTAATAAAATTAATTTTAACACTCTCTGGAATTCGTTTGTAGGAAGGTATAATAAAGAAACTCTATATAAAACATCCTCAAAAATCGATTTAACATATCTCAAATATACCTTTCCATTTGAAAATTTTAAGAAAAATTGGAAACATTTAATTGTTTTCAAATATTGACCCATAGCGTCAGTCCTACTAACCAGAATTTTAATTTTTCACAACAAAGTTAAAGAAGAGACTCTTGTCTTTCCAACGAACCTAAGATCGGCCAGATTTGTTGAGTCGTTTTGAAGTTATCCGTTTTCTTGTGTTGCAATATTTGACAGCTCATAACTATCTTATCTGATAAGATGGTAAAAAGTCATGAATCAAAATTGTGTGAAATTTCATCAAAAATCTATTGCTAGCGTTTTTGAGATACGTTTCCATTTGAAATTTAAAAAATAAAACCATTTTTGTACTTTGACACTTGGGTTACGCCCCCTTACGGTTATTTTAGAAATCTGAATTATATTTCCAGCATTTTCTCTTGGCCATATTTATGGGATAATTTTTTTCCGACAAGACTACGATGAATAGTTTTTGAGATATGGCCGAGTGCCATTCTTAATGAATCACCCTGTATAGGTAGGTATGTAAAAATACTTACAGAGTTGGACATCTTTTGTTGCAAATAAGAGGGGAATTTT